TCTCCTTTTCTCTCTATCCTTTCTGTTCTTTTCTTCCCTCTTTCTTTCTCTGTCTTTCTGTTTTTCTCTCTTATATTAGAAGCCTAAATGTGCAATATCACTATTCCACTAAATTAACTGAAAAGTTACATGTACGACACAATCATTCATGAACCAGAACAAGCAGGAACAGACCTCAGTGGATCATCAATAAACACATGCCAGGGTTGGTTAATAAATTGGCATTGCAAATTCATCATGCACAACAAAACCTTCTGCCTCCTATGATGCTTTATTCAGTGACCAGTTAAAGAGAGATCAAATGCATTAAAATGACCCTAGTGGAACTATCAATATGATAAATCGCTTGGCATACTCTAAATTAAATTTATTAGTTCCAGCTATGTTAGATAACTCAACTCAATGGATCCAGAACATTTTCACAAGTAATTTAGCTCAGAGAAAAACATACTGGCAAGATCTCCCAATGTATTCTATCCCCAAAGTTCCAATGTTGTGACATCCATTGACTTCAAGATGTGTAAGTTCCTTGCAACCAGTAGCGATTGCTTCCAGACCCTTGTCGCTTAAATAATAGCAATCAATTAAAGTCAATTTCTTTAACTTCTTACATCCATTCCCAATTGCACGCAACCCCCTGGACAAAAGCCATTATTGTAAAATAATAACTAATTAAAGCAAAAAAAAAAAATCTTACAAGGAAAACACATATGCAATGATAAGCATGTGAGAAATTATTACCCCCTCCCCGTGTGTGCTACAAACCGATTGTATTTTAAACAAGGACTTTCAAATTCGACAAACTTCAGTGAGTCTCAAAATGTATAATAATGTAAGGAAATAAATTGCGATGAAGGGTGTGATAGACAAATAAAGCAAGAATTGTAAGAGAGCAACTCACTTATCAGTAAATCTCTGAAAACTGTATAGTGCCAATAACTCCAGAGACAGACAGCTAGTACCTACGGCTTTCAAAGCATCGTCTGTGATATTAATACATTGGAGCTTTAGAACCTTCAAAGCTGAACATCCCTGAGCCACAGCAAGTAGCCCTTTATTGTGGATGAACTCAGAATCCAAGTACAATGTCTCAAGGGAACAGCAGTTTGATCCTACAGCCTCCATCGAGATATCAGTTATCTTAGCACAAGCCGCCACACCAAGAGATTTCAAAGATTTTCCCACACCCACTGCTAAATCAACCAAACCCGAATCAGTCAAGCCTTCGCAGAAGCGCAGATTCAAATTTTCAAGATGCTTGCAAAACTGTCCAACAGCAGCCAGACCTTGATCCCCGACATAACAACCCTAAAGGAAAACCAGTAATTATAACTGCAAATAGGGCGTATAGAGTTGTAGATATTGAGAGATACTAAGGCAAGTAATGCATTCATACAGAAAACAGACATCTAATCTAAATAGCGGTGACTAATTAAATACAGATATTGGGTGAAAGAGAAACGGAAATGGAATTAACAGAAAAAACAACATACTTGCAAGTCCAAGGCTTTGAGAGAACTGCATTTCCGAGCAAAGGATGTCAAGCCATCGCTAGAGACATTGGAACACCAGAATAAGCCCAATCTGTGAAGTTTGGGGAAGCCTTCCCCGAGTGAAGACAAACCAGTATCGGTTAAACAAGTGGACTCGAAATAGCTATCTTTATCGGCGGGCCGTTTCCTTCCCTAAAGAAAACAAAGAAATGCCAATTAGAAATAAAGATGCAAATGCAAATGCGAGAATGGAACGAAAAGAAATGATTGAACGGACATGTTGGATGCGAATGGAGAGGCGTTCGTCGATGTAGAGGTTTCTTAGACTAGAGAAGCGGGTGGGGAGGAGGTCGAGGAAGAAGTGGGTGGGGCCGATTCGGAGGGTGGCTCGGGTTTGGCGTTCGAGGCGGAACCAGCGGCGGCAAACGAGGGAGCAGGCGTCCCGGATGGACTTAGTGTGGAGATGGGAAAATATTTCGCCGATTAACTCATCGGGAAGCGAGTTGTTGATCCAATCATGACCTCGCATGATGTGGATGATCTGTGGAGCGGAGAGGAAACTGATACGGATGAATGTGTGAGAACAGAATATTAGTGATGGAAGAAGATGCCAGTAGTATTGTTGGCATTTGCATTGCAGCAAATAGAACGGCGTTAAAACTGACCTCAATATGTCCTTGTTCGCCCATGTTCTTTGGGATTTCACCCTAATCTAAATGTTTTTTTATTTATTTAATAGTTACTATAGCAACAACTATTTTAATTAAACCATCCTAGTTTTTTTTTTTTAATTTAATTAGATATTTTTGTTACATTAAGTTGTCATGTTCATACCTATTTTCGAAATATTTTTATTTATATTTTTTAAAAATATGTCTTACGTCATTATTATATCACGTGTAATACTTCAAATATAAATTCAAAAACTTTAAATCATTACTTAATAAATTTAAATTTAAAGACTACTGCAATTGAAAATGACATTTCTTAGGTTTTTCAAAATATTTCAAAATATAAATAATAACTTTGATACAGTTCTCTAAAAAAATATAAAAGATTTTATCTTCTAAATTATTATACAGTCTCCCAAAAGATAAGTGTATTGAAAAAACACAAGTAACAATAAGAGAAGAACACAAGGTAAGTTAATCCATTTAAAAGAAGAGTAGGAAAAAAAATAAATTATATTATAAAATGTTTGAGAAATAATTTAAATTTGTATTATTAAAATTTACATCAATTTCACTTGAAAGTGAATCCCATGTCTCATGGTTTTAGAGTCTGTTTGAGAATAAACCTTTATATTATATATTTTTAAAAATGGCTATCTCTTTAGCTTTCCTTTCATGCTCTACTTTTTCCAGATGTCAATGTTTTCTTTTGAGAATTAGGGATTGAATTAGGAATTGACTTCATAGTTTTATTGAGATTTAGGGATAAAAAACAATCACAAAAATTAGGGTTCATTCAAATTTGAAATTATAAGAGTTTGGAAAAAAGTTGTATTCACTTTCCTGATTCATCTTCACCTAAGATGTGGCTAAAGAAACATAAGAAGAGTTATGAAAGAAGGATTACGACAGCAATGTCCACAGTTGTTGCCCAGTTTGACAAAACTGGATATGGTGTAGTGATCCAGATACTTTCATTGCATTATGACATGTTTTCCATTCTAATGTCGTGGACTTCTGGCAAAGATATGAAAGATCAAAAGCTAAAGTTTTCAAGAACAACTCATATATTTGACCTGTCAAGGGGTTAAAGATCAATAACAGTGAATTCACCTTTTCTTATTTAAATTAGGGAAAGCAATCACAGAAATTAGGATTTATTCAAATTGAAGAAAATTTAATAAAACAGAATTTTTCTAAAAATTAGGGACTAACTTCGTCGTTTAGTTTGGGGATACGAAAAGCAATTACATATAGTTTATTCAAATTTGAAATTAAGGGAGTTTAGGGAAAGAAGTTTATTCGCTTCCCTGATTCATCTTCACCTAATGTACGACCAAAGAAACATAAGAAGAGGTACGAAGGAATGATAATGAAAGCAATGTCCATAATTGTTGCGTAGATTGACAAAACTGGATATGGTGCAGTGATCCAAACGTCTTCATTACATCGTGGTATGTTCTCCGTTCTAATGTCGTGGATTTATAGTAAAGATATCAAAGATTGATTGCCAAACTTTTCAAGAACAATCCTGGCAAGAGATCACGAATCAGGGAATTTTCTATTTAAAAAATATATAATTTCATAAATTATCATCTTTATCGTTCCACATCGTTTAAAAGACCTAATGCTTAATCACTGATATTTTAAAACTTTTCAACCAATTTAACAACAAAAGGCACATTTCAACTTACTGAAAAAAAAAAAATTGAAAGACAAATTCGAAACTTTTAACAAAAAAGGGAGACATGAAATTGTTAAACCTAAATTATAATGAAAAAACCAAAAAGATAACTAATTGTAACAGAAAAAACCAAAAAATAAAAAATAACTACCAGCACGATAGATATAATCATATTTTAATGTATGTGCTGGTAGTCACTTGATATAACCTAAAATACAAAATAAAAATAAAATGCATCGACATCCTTTTTTGTCAATTGTATTTTTAAAAAATAATTCAAATTATTATTGAATATTATACATAAAAAATGTTTAAAACATATTTTAAATGATCAATGTAAGTATAAAATAAAAATATCACCAATAAAAAACACTGACCTTTTTTTGTCTGATTTATTTGAAAAATAATTCAAATCATTATTAAATATTATATATAGAAAAATAAAATGTTATCATATTTTAATTGATCAATGTGTCCAGTAAAAAACCAAAGGAAAAAATCTCTATTATATGTAAATCACATGCATACATAGGATCTCAAAAAAAAATTGATGCTAGTAAATACAAAGATGTAAGGTTATATGTAAACCTTGCTTAATGAAACATAAAACTCAGTTAATGAAAATTGGTTTTTTCTTACAGTAGATCTCAGCTAAGAATTCAGAGTGAATGGTTCATCTTTTCTGATGAAGTGTGTTGTTTTGAAACTTCAACTTAGTCCTTGATAGTAAAATGCAGTTAGTTTTTTACATAGCTTTCTCTTCTGACTGAAGCTTTATATAAGATTTCTCATTTCTACTCTACTAATAGTATGCTTTCATACTCAATTGACAAATTTACTTTACATTTTTTTTTTGCTACAAGATATCCCAAAAGCATGATGATGAGCTACTACAGCAGGTTCCGGCAAGCCAACGAGTGATCTAGTCTAAGCCAGAATCCCCACAAATAGCAGACAGATGCAGCAGGAAATAGCATGCCCAGGAAACAGACAAAAATGAATATTCAGATGAAATCCAGAATCCTGTGCTCAGAAGACAATCAATGGTGAATTCGTGATACTCTTATTTTTAAGATTAATACCACCATTTAAACATGACAGTTCTGACGTCCTGAACAAAATCCCAGTCCCCCCACACACAAACAAAGACCATGGCTTGCCCAATAACTCTATTAGTAGTGACTCTTAATAAATCCATAATACACAAACCAATTTTGCAAGAGATTCTGTCTTCTGGTTTTATTTAAACATAAGAAAAGGACAGCAAGAAAATCAAAACTACAAAATGAATATCTAAAACTACATCCTCCATTCATCCAACACCAACCTAACACCGTGACCTTAAAATTACAAGAAGAAAAAATGGTAACAGCAATGCAATATCTAAACAAGCAAACAATACTGGAAACCTTAACCTTAGGGCTGCTGAGGGGAAGACACAGTCTTGGCCTTCTTCTTTTCTGAAACTGCCTTGGCAAAGGCCTCAACAATCCGTTGTTGTGACTCCAGAATCATCTCAGTGCGTTTCATTTCCATCTCCATGCGCATAGTTTCCATCTCCCTCGCCATCTCCATCTTCATATGTTCCATCCTCACAAACCCATCTCCTAAAACCTTAATAGCAGCCACCACCTCCCCAACCGGGTCTCTCTCTCTCTTCTTCCCGAAATTAGAATTAGGGCTAGGGTTTTGATTCACATTAGGGCTGAATTTCTGATTCCCAACCTTCCCAAAAATCTTGGAGCCAGACCCGGGTTGAGCAGGGGGCATCCCGGTGGGAATTCGAATTCTAAACCCACCGGCACCGGAACCCGGAAACCCATTCCTGTACAACCTGTTCAAGCTTCGAGTGTGGCCGTTCTGGTTGATCTCTTGGTACAGATCTTGATCATCGTCGTTGTCGTCGTCATCGTTGTCACTATCGGAATCGTGTTCGGGTTTGACAGGAGAGGGACCTTTCTCCATGGAGTCCATGAGCTTAAAGTGAACCCAGGAGGAGTTGAATCGGGAAACGGGGAGGGAGCGAGCGCGCTGGATCTCGGTGCGGTAGCGCTTGCGGAGCTTCTCCATTTTGTGGCGGCACTGGACGGGGGTTTTGGGAGGGGAGGCGTTGGGGCAGCGGTTGGCGACGGCGTCGGCGACCTCTTGCCAGTGGGTGGCCTTGAGGTTGCCGCGGCCGAGGGAATACCACTTGTCGCGGTAGGCGTCGATGAGGGCGAGGGTCTCATCGGGTGACCAGCAGGGAGGAGGAAGGCGGCGGGAGGAGGTAGGCGCGGGGAGGGGAAGGGGGATGAGGGCTAGAGGGACGGCGGAGGGAGGATCGGGGGGAGGAGGAGGAGATGCCATGGAAGAGGAAGGAAGGAGAATGAGAGTGGAAGAGGGGTGAGATAGAGTGGGGGAAAGTGGGTTTGGGTTTGGTGGTGGTGGCGTTTGGTAACATAGTGGGTGGTGGTGTGCGGCTGGTTTTGAGATGTGGACAGGATAGGACGAGGGAGGGCACCACCGATTTGGTGGGGGGAGAGACTAACGTGCGCCGCTCTCACTATGCGCACCCACTCACTTCACTTTGCCCTGACTTGGACGGTGGTGATTGCTCCTCCAACACCCCCACACATCACCTATCACCTATCTCATAGGTTAGCTTAAGGTTACTCTCCCACTACTCTCCATTCACCAACTTTTTATCATCTTTCAATTTTAAGATTAAATTAACCATTCAGTATACCCTCCACACTACACAAATTTCTATTAGCACTCCTCTAAAATTGAGCTGAACTTAGTAAGTAGGAGGTGAAAATAGTAAAAGTCATTCACAATAATGTTGGATACCCTAAGGCCTATTTAATTTTAAAATAAATATACGTAAACAATTTGAATGAAAAGTTAAAACTATTATCAACACTGTTCCCTCTTATTACTAATCATAATGGTAATCTTTTGATTGGTTGAAACAAGATATTAAAATATTTATTGTGTACTGTCTTTAAATTTGAATAACAAAGAGGAAATAAATGTTTTAGCACCACCATCATGTTGAACAGCTTTTTAAAAGAAAATATAAAAAACTTTTTGTTTCTAATAATTTTAGAGATTATTTAATGTGATTTTTTTAATTCAATTATCATTTTACTTAAAAAATTAATGTGATTTCCTCCATTTATTAATGTTCACGGTTTTTAAAAGATCAATGTAAATAACGAGTTAACATTGTAATATGACTCTCTCTTTTCGATCTTATGAAACAATATTTGTGTTTGACAAATATAATTGGTCCTCAGAAAATACAAGTATCATGATGATAGTTGGTCCAATGCTCTTGTTAAACTTAAAAAGTTAATTAATTCTATATATTTTTCTATCTGGATTTAGCAAAAAAAAATTGTCATTATTCTGATTTAGTTTATTTTCAATATATGTTACATAGTTGTTCTTTTCTTTATGTTAATTATGGTTTTTCAATATAGTGATATCCTTAGTTGATTCCTCTCTTTAGTTATAGGTTTAAAATATGTTTATCTCTTCGTTCTCGAATTAGGTTGCTCTATTATACTATCTTTATATGCATATTTCAATTCATAAATAGGCCTTTTTATTATTTTTTGGTACTATTTTAATTGTATCTTTACATTAATTTACTACCACGATCATTCTACTAACATAAACTTAATTTCACTTGTAAAATTATATAAAGTAGAACTCGTCAACTTGTGAAATAATTAGCCTGATCCTTCGTTATACTATCCAATATAAAGTCAAATATTAGCTAGCTATACTGAAAATATGTAAGTTTAGATAGAGTTAACTCAAGTTTTCCAACAAATTTAAATTTAATAGGAATCTTTAGAACGTACAAGTATCTATAAAAACTTAAGAATTGAAATAACAAAGGACAATTTGTTATAGAGAGTGTAAAAATAAAATAATTACGTGGAGGTAAATTGATTATTTAGATCATTAGTTGATTTATTGATCAATTAATTAAGTTTCTCATATGTTTCATGTGTATACTTGTGAAATTCTATTCCTTTATCTCTTAAACCAAACAAATAAAGGATTATTAAAATTAAGTAAATTAACAAAAAATATTAATTAAAACTGAATTATAAACAAACATTCAAAGATAATTCTAAAAGCATAAATCAAAATTCAAAAAGAAAAATATATTAAACTTTATTTTGCATAAATTGAAAAATAATACAGCACATGACTTCATAATTAATTATGAATTGACAATAAAACGTCTGAAAGGTTTAATCTTCGATGTGAAAGAGAACAAGAAACATTACAAAAAAATAAATTAGAATGTGATGTGATGAATTATTGAACGGTGAGTGATAAAAGTTGAGTGCTAATTATGCATTGTAAAAAATCCAAAATAACATGATGCATAAAAATGAGTATTGAAGGCTCTCCAGAACAAATTCTATTGTAAATGTCTAATGAGGAATACGTCTTAATGGGTTTTCAAAGCATCAGATAATTTAATTACACGATCTAATGATTCTCATAACATACGAGTCTTTGATATAACCCTTACATGAGATCATGGTCCATATTAAATGTATATTAGTTTCATAAAGTATGTGCCTTAATAGTTCACTACTGAGATATTTAACGAAATAGAGGAAATCGCTATAATAAGAGAAAATGGGGTTTGAAGAGTGTTTTAAATTTTTTTACAAATCAACGTTTGATGACTATTATAAAAAATTAGACGAATTCCAATAATTATTAGATGTGTGTATTTTCAATAAAGCATTTAACAAAATGTTTTAAGCATGAAAAACAATAAGTATTTTTATACTAGTTCTTTCAAGCCACGTGTAATATTTTAGAGAGAATTTCTGATTAACTAGATTTTCACTTAACATATTTTTTCAAATTTTATTTTTTAATTTAAATTTTAATAACTTTTTAGTTAATTTAGTTTGTTTATATAATTTAATAGATTAATATTTTAATTTTTTAAAGATTATTTATTAAATTAAAATGATTAAAATATATTAAAAAAATTATAAATTTGTAAATTTTGTTATCATGTGTTAATTATTTGATATACATTAAAACATATTAGATAAGATTCTGTAATAATAATAATAATAATAATAATAATAATAATAATAATAATAATAATAATAATAATAATAATAATAATAATAATAATAATAATAATAATAATAATAATAATAATAATAATAATAATAATAATAATAATAATAATAATAATAATAATAATAATAATAATAATAATAATAATAATAATAATAATAATAATAACAGTAATAATAATAATAATTCAATATATATCTAATTAACATATATTAATTGAATTTCCTTAATTCAATAAATTTTTTAATTAAATTTTGAAATCCAAGTGAAAAGAGGTGCAGCATGTTAACAAAAATTAGGTAGTAGGTGAGTGAGGTAATTTTAGGAGAGAAAAAAAATGCACCTAATCAGAAGGGTACTTTAGACATTAAAACACATTTGGTGGTGCATAAAGAAACCTTTGAGATGTAGGGAGAACCTCTCACGGGCCTTTTATTTTCTTTCTGCGCCCCTTAAATTTTGAAAATTTTGTTTTAGCCCTCAATACCCTAAATTACTTTCTCAATCCTATGTTTCCCTTCCTTGCCCTTTATTATGCCTTTTGTGCCATTCATGCTGCATCTCCTCATACTCGTTGTGCCATTCGTGTTTCACCTCCTCATACTTCTTCCTCTAGTTGTCTCATTCATGTTGCACCTCCCTCTCCCGTGCAGGTCGACTTCTTTTTCTCATTCATATAGCATTGTTATGGTTCTTTTTAATAAATCATATAACATTGTTATGGAAGAACTAAAAATGAGTGAAGAAATGCTGTTCGTCCCCTATTACATTTAGTTTATGGTTTAAAAATTTTATGTTTCTCGATAAATGTATAATTTTTTTAATAACTATATTTTTATTCTTTTAAATTAGTATAAATAGAATGTTCTGACATATAAAAATAAACATGTAACAAGTGTTTCGAAAAGTTATTTCAAATCCAAAATTACCTTCTAAAACCCTCTCTTTATAAATTTCTTTTATATACCCTGAATTGGATATTTTGAAAGACATTTTTTAAATCCAAAAATATCTTTCTGTCCAACCCGAAAAATATTAAAATAAGAAAGTATAAAAATATTTATTATACTTTTAATAAGGCGTAATTCCGAAAATGACACTTTTTACACTGTTGATTTTTATACCTTATAAATATTTACCAATAATAACATTTTTATACCCTTTATAATTCCTTAATGATTTGATATAGTTAGTGATTTAATTATATAGAAGTTTAAATTAAGAATATATATTTTAAAATGTTTTATTACTATATTATTATAATAAGATTGTAAATAGATATATTAAAATAAAGATGTCAACATATTATTTTTTAAATATTTAGTTGCATTCTTCTTTATTTTGAAAAGAATTGAATAAATATATATATTTTCGAATTCAGAACGTTCATTAAAAAAATAGAGATAGACATTTGAGATGCAAGAAATTCCTTCAAAATATAAGTGTAGACTAGTGCAAAAAATGTTTTTTATACCGATTAAAAACATGTTTTTTTATTATACCTGTTTTCGAACAGGTATAGAAGTATGGTATAAAAGTTTTTCTATTTTCCACGCCACGTTAAGAACCGATATAACAAAGTTTAGCTTTTACACCGGCTCTGTCTGCAATAAGTATAAAAGTTTGATTTTATATTCTGAAAGCAAGTATAAAAAGTTTCCTTCGCGGGTAGAAAAAAATTCCATTTTTATACATGCTAGTGCTATAATAGGTATAAAAGAGTCTCACTTTTATACCTAGTAGTTTTATAACCGGTATAAAGAGTGACGTTTTTTTTAGAATATTTGATTTGTATATGCTACTACTTATATCCAGAGTGCATAAAATTCAATCTCATACATAATACAGTCTAAATAATCAGTAACAAGCAAGATAATTAATATTGTTTCTATTAATACATCAAAATCTAATATTTACCCAACAAAGTTCGTAAATATATTTACCTAACATAGTTACTTAAGAAAATTACACATAAAATAGTTCTTCAATTCAAAATGTAATATTGAAACATCTAATAATATACAAAAGGTTAAAAGAAATGCAATCCACTTCTCTCCAACATCCTTTATAACATGTTGTTCAATTGGAGACGAGTCATCGAATATCTACACAATAAATAGTTTGAGTCAAGTTATAATAATAGTGTTAAATAACATTAACATAAATAGAATTTTATTAATAAAAATTATATACTTATTGTTGCAAATAAGATGTTGAGTACACTTGCTTTTTTCCCTTTTCAAAAGCCTCTGAGAAGTACTTTTGGACTTGATATCTATGAATAAAATGGTGAAACAAACATGAATACAATGGTATGCAAATAGACAAAGACACAAAGAAAATGAAACATTAAAAGACATTGATGCGTGCTAGAAGTCTACAAAGCAAAGTAAATTGTAAAAAAGAAACTTGCCTCTTCAGTTCATCTTGTAACTGTGACATGATTGTCAACTCTAACAAATTTCCTTATTCTTGAAGTAATTCTGAGGTTTCAGAGAGAACAGAGAAATGCCAGGAAAGGCAACATCATGTTATCAATAAATGCCAAATTAACGGAGAGGTGTAACAGTTAACAAACTATCAACGTATGGATATTGAAACATTCCAGTACCTTTTGCACTCCTCTTCGCATAATTGAGCTTCAAGCTCCTGAATTCTAGAATTAAGTTTATCCACTTCTTGAATACTCTCATCAAGCTAGACCTTCATCAAGCTAGACCTTCAAAAATAAGAATTTGTACGTTTTTTTTTTCAAATTAAATTTAGGGAAGCTAACTGGAAGGTTGATTTCATCAGTTTTCCCAGGACATCATATGAAACAACATTTCAATATCAGGACATCATATGCAACTATAAGAGATAAAACTAACCTCTAGCTGGAATTTTCGGTTCTATAGAGCACTGATACCTAAATCTACTTTCTTCAGCTGCAAAAGTTACAAAAATATAAAAACACATGCAATTTTCCACAACAAACTAAGGAATCTTCCATATATTTTTTAATGATATTTGCATGAATATAGGCATATGCTCCAAGAAAAAATGAAATAACATTTGCTCCAAGAAAAATGAAATAACATATGCTCCAAGAAAGGCATATTCCCCGGTCAAAAGAAAGGCATTTTAATTTTAACATATATACATGGAAGAAGAACAATAATAGACCATTAGTTCCCACAAAAAATTAAAAGATGTATACGAAAGTATCCATAATGATTCATGGTTGATTTACCTTTTGTTCTTCAAAGACCTTGTTGTTATCATAACTACCAATTCTGTTACTTGTTGTTACCCTAAATGCTTGTAATCTCTATACTATAAATACTAGTTGTGCTCAAATACAAGTTGAAATCAAATGTTAGACATAACATTCCGATATAATACATGCCTTAAAGAAACTCGGTAGTCAAGTGATTAGAAAATATAATTCACCAAACGAGTTTTAATAAAGATTTTAGACATTTTTCATAATCATTGGAAAAAAATTTCTTAATCAAAATGAAAGTTCATTTCTACGTAGAGATAATAGGTTAAGTTACTAAATTGAGAATGTGTTATAGCAAAATATCTTTTCAAAATTTTATTCATGGAAAGAAGACTTAGAAGACAGATGGCTAAAATTGATAGAGATACCGGTGCTTCTGATAACATCCAATGATTTTTCCAATTATAGATGTCATATTGTAAGCAACAACTGCTGAATAGATCATTCACTGCAAGCTATATATATTTATTGTCACGAACAAACAAGCTATCATGCAATCAAAAGACTGTTCTTGTCATTTCACTCAAAAGCAATGGAAATTCCCTTGGCAACATTTGTATGCGAATGACCGATGTTTGGCTCCAAGACTTTAAAACTAATCAAACATGAGAAACTCTAGCATATTACAAGTCCAATCATTTAAAAACTAAAACATAAAAATATTAATATTAAAATATAACAAATCCCTATCTGTAGTTATTTTAATGTAATGTTGTCTTGAGATTTTTACCAGTAGCTTCTACAATAGTACAATTGCTCATTAGACAAGCAAGTGAATCACCTATACACACAATTGCTAACAACTCCTTTTCTTTTTCTTTTTGAATTTTAAGGTAGAAATATAAAAAAATCCAAACTGCGAAATTTTCAATCCCGTGAAAGCAATTCATGATAATTAATAAACACCTACTCATATATAAAAATCTAACTATTTTCACATGAACGATAAAAAGTAAAAATAAAAGTAGAAGTAAGAAGCTAACCTGGTTATTATTATGACACTGATGGCAGCAAGCAAAGCAAACAATCTAACCTTTGATTAACTCTCATCTAAGCTTTTTCCTGTGGCTAATTATTTGCTTCGTGCTTATCTATAAATAATTGCTGCCAGCTTTTAAGCAAAAAAGAATTTGGTTGGATAGAACAAAAGCCTATAGTTAAGGGAAGATAATTGTCTTTTAAAACCTTAAAAACTAGATACAACTAGGAAAAATAATTGTCTTTTACCTTAGTATTGTATCAGGTTTGAACATTAAGTGTGTATTTGGTTTCACATATAGAAGTATTTCTTCTAAGCCAAATAAAGAACTATTTTATATAATTTTTACATTTTCATTTGATTTGACATGAAATATATTGAGAATATATATATATAGAATGCATTCCTCCCTCCACTCCATAGCCAACTACATTAGCAGTATTGGGATGGTTTAC